ACCTTGGAACCGCATTGCCAGTTTGCCACCTAACTCTCTCTCTCTCCTTTTATTCTTTTCTTTGTTTCCATTCTTTCATTTCTCTCTCAGAGACTCCTCTTTTTGCTTGGGTTTTTTCAATCTCCTTGATCGTTGCCATCTGCAGAAAGGTACGGTGTTTTTCTCTCTTGTTTTTTGGGGGATTTTTTGTGATGGATTGTCCTTAATTCTATTGCTTGTAATGCCCTTTGCTTAGCTTCCTATTGATTTTAATCGGCTATCTTTTCGAATCCTTCGATGGTTTGCTTTATACTTTTGGTTTAATTAGCTTTCCTGAGTTGACCCTTTTTTCCCATGGTTTCTACTGTTTTCTTTAATTTTTTTTAATCATATTTTTTGGGCTTTAAGTTCAATTTTTTTGTTGGGTTTTATGTTTGTTATCAGGGATTTATTTTTGGTAGTAATTTCTGAGTTTCTTTTTTTAAGGTCCATTTCAGTTTTTTTTTTTTTAAAGAAATCCATGGTTTTTCTTGTAATTGGGTTTCTGAGATCTCTATTATGTACTTTATTGGTTTTTGTTATTTGATCTTCATGGTAATTATTAAGTCTTTGAAAGAGTAATTGGCCAATCTGCTGTTTAAAAGCTTCAGTTGTTTTTTTCTTTATTCTCCACTGCTTTGACTCGATTAAACATGTTTGATTTTACTTTGTTGGGTGGATTTGCAACCTTTGGTATTCATTTATGTGTAGTTTAGCGAATTCCATGCGGTTGATAAGGTGGGGTTGGGAATCTGGTAGTGTTTCAATAGTTGCTGTTTAAAAGCTTCAATTTTTCCTTGGTTCTTGACTTCCCAATTTGATCTTAGATGTTCGATTTCAATTTGTGATCAACTGATATCGGCTTGTAGTATGGCTGGTTGTGTATGGTCCTGATTTATGAGTATATACATTGCTCCTTTGATGTTAAGAGATATAATCGTATGGGGTTTAGACTTTTCTATGTGTTTTTATGATGTCTAGAATCTATCTTGGACTTCATTATAGATAAATTGAAGTTGTTTAGACACATGGCTCTTGTTCTTATGATGTATAGCTGTTCTCTGATTATTAACATTAACTGTTGATTTTCTGGAGTTTGATCATTTTTATGTTGATTGTTAACTAATTGATGTTTCAGTTCAATATTTAGTGAGACAGACCTTCTTACTCTTAGCACCTTGCTTGAACAATTTTATGTTTTTGTGCAGGTTACCTCCACAATGGATTTTTTCCTCAGGGGCCTAAATGAGGATTCTGCATCTTCCCAAATGGACATTCTCAGATGTCCATTTTTGAGGAACATTAATGAACCGACTAACTTTTCCTTCTCATCAGCCATGCCTTTCCCCATGCCAGTAAGATTATATTTCTTTTAGAGTGTTGTGTCTATCGTGAGCATTGTGCTTCTTGCTTCATGTGTTTTACTCTCCTCCTCATTTTGTTTTTACTTCTACCTCTCAGGTACGAGGAGCCAAAGGTCCAATTTTTGAAGATGGACCCAATTTTGACATGGCATTCAGGCTTTTCCATGGACGTGATGGAGTGGTTCCACTGTCTGAACGATCTTCCTTTCGCACTGAGAAAACAGAGCCTGAAACAACCCCACCCAAGTTCAATCCTTTGGCTGCAAGGGCAGCCACCGTTAGCTTCTCATCCTTTGGACTGGGAGGGTCTTTCAGTTTTGATGCATTTTCTAAAAAGTGGAACAATCAAAAAGGAAAATCAAAACCATCCAAGAAAGAGTCTTCTTCGCAGGTAATTGAAAGTCTGTATCCATTCAGACCTAGGTCTTTAAACTAAGAACAATCACCAAATGTCATAAAGATTTTGGATTATTTATTTTGAAGCATTCCTTTGTTTACATCCTTTTGTGCTGATGTTTCAGGGAGGAAATTCCAATCATGAAGCATTGGGCAATGAATGGCTACAAAATGGGAACTGTCCAATTGCAAAGTCGTATAGGGCAGTTAGCGGTGTTTTGCCACTTGTTGCAAAGGTTTTTCAGCCACCTCCAGGGATGAAATTCCGGTGCCCACCAGCAGTGGTTGCAGCCCGGGCAGCACTAGCACAAACTGCTTTTGCCAAGAACCTACGCCCTCAATCCTTGCCCACAAAAGTGCTGGTGATTGGGATGTTAGGCATGGCAGCAAATGTTCCTTTAGGGATATGGAGGGAACACACTGAAAAGTTCTCACCATCTTGGTTTATGGCTATCCATGCAGCTGTTCCATTCATAGCAATGCTCAGGAAATCTGTGTTGATGCCCAAGACAGCAATGGCATTTACTATTGCAGCATCTGTATTAGGACAGGTTATCGGCTCTAGGGCAGAACGATATCGAATGAAAGCAGTAGCCGCGAAACGATTAGGTATTGAGGAATCCTCTGTTTCTGTTGGTGATGCAAGCCAGTTAGAAGTCGTTGCAGTCAAAAATGGTTATTGCAGCAAAGATGTTGAATGGGATCCAGTTTCTCTTCAGGTGGCGAGGCCTTCTTCATCTACAGATGTGTTTTGCTGATTCTTTTATCCTTGTTGTAACTTAAGCGACTGTCATTCTGCGTACTGTAATTCCGTTGTGTTCAACAATGTCCTCAGTTGTTCTGTGTTCCCTTTTGTGTTCCTTTCTTGTACCAGACATGTTGTGGCAAAATCAATGGAGAGAATAAAAGATGCAGTAAGAGAAATTTTCTTCTTCATAATCTCTCTCTCTCCCTCTTTCTCTCTCTGGTACCGAATGGGACAGTTAAAAGTATCTTTTGCTGTCTGAAACCTTAGCTTCCAACATTGACTTGGTAAATGGATTTCAATAATGGTGGCTGCCGGCTGCCATATTCTTGCAATGTTTTTGTTGACATTTTCAGTGTGAAGATTATTAGATCCATCACTTCCTACTTTGCAACACCAAAGATTCAACAGTGACCCTTGGCAAATTGAAGAACTGCAACCATGGACTAGCTTAGCTTCTTATCTGGCCCATCTAGAACCTGACTCACTGCCATAAACCCAATTCTTCAAGACCACCAAATCCAGGAGAAGTAACCCCTCTCTCATGTTCTTCGCCGTCCAGTGAATAGGTTGAGAGGTAAATTGGGTTTTAAAATATGGATTATTTTTTTATATAAATTTATTAAATTTTAATAAGCAAAATTAGTTTTTTAATTATATCTTGGTAAATTCTACAGTAAAGTCATCATTTTTGACCTTATTATAAAGTCAATTAATAAAGATCATTTGATTTATGAAAATTAAATTATAGTCATTTATTTAAAACTCATAAAAAAGTTAGTAAACCAATTTTATTCGTAAACAAAAAATCCTCTCTTTGATGGACTCTTTTTATACCTTATTAATAGAAATCATTTATTTACATTTTTTTATTTCATGGCTAAATTTTCATATTATAAATAAGATTATCATTATAATAAATTAGACAGTCAAAATTAAAAATATATAATAATAAAAATAAAAACACATGTAATTTAAAATTATCATTAAAAACCTAGACATAGAGTTTTTAAAAATTATGATTAAAAATTGTTAACTTAAAATAATAAGAATTGACACAAAAACTAGTAAAAGTAGAATAATTAAATTTTAAATCTTAATATAAATGTATAAGAGTTAACGTAATAAGTTAATTAAAGAAAAAAATTAATTTTAATAAAAAATAAATATTTAAATTTATATTCTCATACTAAAATTGTTTTACGATATATAAATTTTAATTTTTTAATAAAAATAATTATAGTTCAAAATTGACATAAATAAGTCTTAACGTAAAACTGTAACAATTAACGTAAAAATTTATAAACGTAGAATAACTAAATTTTAAATCTTAACGTAAATGTGTGAGAATTAACGTAACAAATCAATTAAGTAAAATAAATAAATATTTAAATTTATATTCTTAAACTAAAAGTGTTCAACGATATATAAATTTTAATTTTTAAATAAAGAATAATTAAGATAAAAATAATTATAGTTTAAAATTGACATAAATAAGTCTTAAGATAAAATTGTAATAATTGACGTAAACATTTATAAACGTGAAATAATTAAATTTTAAATCTTAACGTAAATATGTAAAAATTAACGTAATAAGTCAATTAAGTAAAAAAATTTAATTTTTATGAAAAATAAATATTTAAATATATTTTTTAGATTAAAAGTATTTAACGATATATAAATTTTAATTTTTAAATAAAGAATAATAATTATTATTATTATAATTTAAAATTGATATAAATAAATCTTGACGTAAAACTATAACAGTTGACGCAAAAACTTATAAAGGTGAAATAACTAAATTTTAAATCTTAACGTAAATGTGTAATAGTTAACGTAGCAAGTTAATTAAGTAAATAAATTTTAATTTTAGTGAAAAATAAATATTTAAATATATATTCTGGAGTTAAATGTATTTAACGATATATAAATTTTAATTTTTATATAAAAAATAATAATAACAAAAATAGTTATAGTTTAAAATTGATATAGATAAATCTTGACGTAAAACTGTAACAATTGATGTAA